AAAGTCATCATTGTATTTATCTTATTCTTGTTTGTTTTTTAATTCTCACCCCAGGATATTTTCCCATTGATTTTTAGAGAGAGTGGAAGGAAGAGGGAGAGACAGAAAGAATACCATGTGAGAGACACATTGATAGGTTGCCTCCTGCACACCCCGACCATGGTGGGGAGCCTGCAACCGAGGTGGGTGCCCTTGACCAGAATTGAACCTGGGACCATGCAGTCCACAGGCTAATGCTCTATCCAATGAGCCAAACCGGCTAGGGCTGTCATACTGTTTTTAAAATATCATAAGCCAGCAAAATGGTTAATTTAGGTATATTATCATGAAAGGATGTTGAATTTTGTAAAATGCTTTTATTGCATCTATTGAAATGATCATATGCTTTTTTGCCTTTATTTTATTAATATAGTGTATCATATTTATTGATTTGTGTATGTTAAACCATCCTTGCATCCCAGGAATAAATCCCACTTGGTCAAGATGTATAATTTTTTTAATGTACTGTTGAATTCCGTTTGCTAGTATTTTGTTGAGAATTTTTGCATCTATGTTCATAAGGATATTGACCTATGGTTTTCTTTTCTTATAGTATCTTTATCTGGCTTTGGTATCAGGTTATATATATTCTGGCCTCATAAAATGAGTTTGGGAGTGTTCCCTCTTCAATTTTTTGGAAGAGAAGGATTGGTGTTAATTCTTCTTTAAATGTTTGGTAGAATTCACTAGTAAAACCATCTGGTTCTGGGCTTTTCTTTGTTGGAAGTTTACTGATTCAAACCTCTCATTTGTTAGCAGTCTGTTGAGGTTTTCTATTTCTTCATGACTCAGTCTTGGTAAGTTGTATGTTTCTATGAATTTATCCAATTTGTGTCTTACAGTACTTTGTGTCTCTATTTTATCAGTTGTAATGGCTCCTCTTTCATTTCTGATTTTATTTCTTTGTATTGTCTCTTTTTTTCTTAGTCTAGCTAATGGTTTGTTTTCTTTTAAAAAATACACCTCTTGCCAAAACTGGTTTGGCTTGGTGGCTAGGGCGTCGGACTGCGGACTCAAGGGTCGCAGGTTCGATTCCGGTCAAGGGCATATACCTTGGTTGCAGGCACATCCCCAGTGGGAGGTGTGCAGGAGGCAGCTGGTCGATGTTTCTCTCTCGTCGATGTTTCTAACTCTCTATCCCTCTCCCTTCCTCTCTGTAAAAAATCAACAAAATATATATTTTTTAAAAATACACCTCTTAGTTTTGTTGACCTTTACTATGGCTCTTTGGCCTCTTTATTTTTGCTCTGTTTTTTGTTATTTCCTTCCTTCTGCTAATTTTGGGATGAGTTTGTTCTTTTTCTAGTTCCTTTGAGGTATGATTTCAATCTTCTTTTAAAAATTTTTTAATTTATTTCAGAGAGAGGAAAGAAGAGGGAGAGAGGGATAGAAACATCAATGATAAGAGAATCATTGATCGCCTGCCTCTTACACACCCACTCTGAGGATCGAACCTGAAATCCGGGCATGTGCCCTGACCAGGAATCAAACCCTGACCTTGGGTTGATTCATGGGTTGACACTCAACCACTGAGCCACACTGGCCGGGCATGATTTCAAGCTTCTTAAATTTGATATGGCTGTTTTGTGACTCGACATAGGATCTATTCTGGAGAATGTGTTCAGGTCTTCCTGGTCAATGGTCTTGCCCCTACCTTGTGCCCTGTTTTCATAATGAGCTTCTCACCTTGTTCTTGTTCTTTTTTTTAGAGGAAATATATTTTATTTTTATTTCTTTTAAATCTTTATTGTTGAGAGTATTACTTATGTTCCTCTTTTTTCCGCCATTGCCCTCCTCCACCCAGTTCCCATCCTGCCACAAGTCTTCACCCCCTATTGTCTGTGCCCATAAGTAATGCATATATGCATATAAATTCTTTGGTTAATCTCTCCCTGCCTCCCTCCCCCTTCTCTCTGAGAATCGTCAGTCGGTTCCATGTTTCCATGCCTCTGATTCTATTTTATTTACCAGTTTATTTTGTTCATTCGAATTCTTGTTTATTTTGATTTTTAGATTCTAATTGTTGATAGATATGTATTTATTTACATTTTATTGTCTCCTCCTCCTCCTCCTCCCCCTTCTCCTCCTCCTCCTCCTCCTCCTCCTCCTCCTTCTGCAAAATTAGCTGGCAGTCATATGGGCTCTACCTTATAGGTAACTAACGGCTTTTCTCTTGTTGCATTGTTTTGAACTCTGTATCTAGTAGTTTGCTCGCTTCCATTTCTTTCATTGCGACATGTTTCTTTGTCTCTGCATTTTGGCTGCTTCCCTGTATTTGTTTATATGTATTAGGTAGAGCTGCTATGTCTCCTGGAATTGGTAGAGTGTAGTAGGTGTCCAGTAGAGCCCAGTGGTTCAGCCTCTTCAGTCACCTGAGCTGGGTACTCTAGATGTGCCCCTATGTGGGCTATAGGTACTGTCGTGTTGTAGTTGAGCCTTGATTGCTGTTAGCATCACTGGGAGGAATTGACCTCTAGGCCAACTGGCAGTGAGGACCAGCTGTGATT